TCTTCAGCGACGAAGAGAACGAACCCGAGAACCACCAGGACCACCGCACCAATGACGGGTTCGACGCCGACGACGGGTTCGACGCCGACGACGGGTTCAACGCCGATGACGGGTTTAAACAGGAGACGAACGAAGAGGAGGGGCCAAGGTGCAAGGGGGTGGAGACAGGGGTAGAGGGGGAGGAGACAGGAGGCAAGGAGGTTGAGCATACAGGTAAGGGGGAGGGGCCTATAGGGGAGAGGGAGGAGCCTGCAGGTAAGGGGGCAGGGCTTGTGGAAGAGCACCCAAACAGTGTTTTGGTGGTTGGAGAAAGTAGGGAAGTGGTTTTGTTTGAGAAGGTGTTGATCGGAGAGGTCAGGACAGGTGAGGCAGGTGTGACAGGTGAGGCAGGTGCGACGGGTGAGGTGGTGATATTAGGAGAGCACGGCTTTGGAGACGCAGGGAGGCCCATGGAGGTGTCGGAGAGCATGGAGGTCGCCGCAGAAATGACTGTGATGGAGGCGACAGGTGCGGCAGGTGAGCTCCTGGAGGTGCAGGCAGGTGCGGCAGGTGAGGTGGTGATACTGGAGCATGACTACGTGAGCACGGAGGAGATGGAGTTGTCGGGGGCGGTGCACGTTCTGGAGGAGGACATGGAGCTGACGCAGGTGGAAGTGAGGACCTCTGAGTGAAGACAACTCGCTCGGGGGGGTTTCTACATGATGTCTACGGCGGAATGTTCAGGCAGTGAAGAGTTAAGACGCTCTCAGATGTCCAAAAGCTCGTGGTCAGTGCGAACGTTCATGGTTCTGTTCAGGAGTTTGACTTTACACTAAAAGGTGAGATAAAGTGTGATGTGACTTGCAGGGACGTGTGTAAAGCTCAGGTCCTCTCACCTGTCGGAGCTCAGGTCAGTCAGGTCTTTCTGGTCAGACTGAGTTCAAATGAAACTCAGATTAAAGTTTAACAGCTTCAGGACAGAGCAGTGCCTACAGTTAGCGTCAGAGCCCCGGAGAACGTGGACGACGTCGGCTGCACACGATTCATTTTCAGTCTGTTGGGAGGAAACTGGACCGAGCAGAAAACTCCATTATTATTTTATTTAACCAGGAAGTTCACATCAAATTCAAAAGTTCTCACCGTTTGTCCCGTGATGGTCCGGGTCACTCCCGCGTTTGACCCACGATCCTCCGGGTCACTCCCGCGTTTGTCCCACGATCCTCCGGGTCACTCCCGCGTTTGACCCACGATCCTCCGGGTCACTCCCGCGTTTGACCCACGATCCTCCGGGTCACTCCCGCGTTTGACCCACGATCCTCCGGGTCACTCCCGCGTTTGACCCACGATCCTCCGGGTCACTCCCGCGTTTGTCCCGCAATGGTCCTGGTCACTCCTTGACCCGGACCTCGTTTGACTCGTCCTTTGTGTTTTTGTTTAAAAAGAGCAGAGACCGATTCTGGTACATTTTGTGTTTTTGTAAATTATGTACAAAAAAAAAAAAAAAAAGATTGTAAAATAATTTTGATAATCGTAAATGCAGTTTTATTTTGTATTAAATGACTTTTGTTCCAACACTTCATACTTTTTATTGTAATTTATTGTAATGTATTTGTGTTTTATTTACAGTTCATCAGTACTACAAATACTCCCACAGTCTGTACTACACACTTATATAAGAGTACTTTTACTATTACTAGAGCTCGTGTTATATTCTCATATTAAACCTGCTGACGCTGAGCTGTTTACACCTGTACGATATAAACACGTACGATATAAACGCGTACGATAAAACACGTACGATATAAATGCGTACGATAAAACACGTACGATATAAACGCGTACGTACGATATAAACGCGTACGATAAAACACGTACGATATAAATGCGTACGATAAAAGATGTACGATATAAACGCGTACGATATAAACGCGTACGATATAAACGCGTACGATATAAACACGTACGATATAAACGCGTACGATATAAACACGTACGATATAACACGTACGATATAAACGCGTACGATATACGATATAAACGCGTACGATATAAACACGTACGATATAAACGCGTACGATATAAACGCGTACGATATAAACGCATACGATATAAACACGTACGATATAAACACGTATGATATAAACATGTACGATAAAACGATATAAACGTACGATATAAACACGTACGATATAAACACGTACGATATAAACACGTATGATATAAACGTACGATATAAACACGTACGATATAAACGCGTACGATAAAACATGTACGATATAAACACGTATGATATAAACACGTACGATATAAACACGTACGATATAAACACGTACGATATAAACACGTATGATATAAACATGTACGATATAAACGCGTACGATATAAATGCATACGATATAAACGCGTACGATATAAACACGTACGATATAAACACGTATGATATAAACATGTACGATATAAACACGTACGATATAAACACGTATAAACACGTACGATATAAACGCGTACGATATAAACGCATACGATATAAACACGTACAATATAAACACGTACGATATAAACGCGTACGATATAAACGCGTACGATATAAACACGTATGATATAAACGTACGATATAAACGCGTACGATATAAACGCGTACGATAAAACATGTACGATATAAACACGTACGATATAAACACGTATGATATAAACGCGTACGATATAAACGCGTACGATATAAACGCGTACGATATAAACGCGTACGATAAAACATGTACGATATAAACGTACGATATAAACGCGTACGATATAAACGCGTACGATATAAACGCGTACGATATAAACGTGTACGATATAAACACGTATAAACACGTACGATATAAACACGTACGATATAAACACCTATGATATAAACGCGTAAAATATAAACACGTACGATATAAACACGTATGATATAAACACGTACGATATAAACGCGTATGATATAAACGCGTACAATATAAACACGTACGATAGAAACACGTACGATATAAACATGTATAAACACGTACAATATAAACGCATACGATATAACATGTACGATATAAACACGTACGATATAAACGCGTACAATATAAACACGTATGATATAAACACGATATAAACGCGTACGATATAAACACGTACGATATAAACACGTACGATATAAACACGTAAGATATAAACGCGTACAATATAAACACGAACGATATAAACACGTACGATATAAACATGTATAAACACGTACAATATAAACACGTACGATATAACATGTACGATATAAACACGTACGATATAAACACGTACAATATAAACACGTACGATATAAACACGTATGATATAAACACGTACGATATAAACACGTATAAACACGTACAATATAACATGTACGATATAAACACGTATGATATAAACACGATATAACATGTACGATATAAACACGTACGATATAAACACATACGATATAAACACGTACGATATAAACGCGTACGATATAAATGCGTACGATATAAACGCGTACGATATAAACGTGTACGATATAAACACGTATAAACACGTACGATATAAACACGTACGATATAAACACGTACGATATAAACACGTATGATATAAACATGATATAAACGCGTACAATATAAACACGTACGATATAAACACGTATGATATAAACACGATATAAACACGTATGCTATAAACACGTACGATATAAACGCGTATGATATAAACGCGTACAATATAAACACGTACGATATAAACACGTACGATATAAACATGTATAAACACGTACAATATAAACGCGTACGATATAACATGTACGATATAAACACGTACGATATAAACGCGTACGATATAAACGCGTACGATATAAACGCGTACAATATAAACACGTATGATATAAACGCGTAAAATATAAACACGTACGATATAAACACGTATGATATAAACATGATATAAACGCGTACAATATAAACACGTACGATATAAACACGTATGATATAAACACGTATGATATAAACACGATATAAACACGTATGCTATAAACACGTACGATATAAACGCGTATGATATAAACGCGTACAATATAAACACGTACGATATAAACACGTACGATATAAACATGTATAAACACGTACAATATAAACGCGTACGATATAAACATGTACGATATAAACACGTACGATATAAACGCGTACAATATAAACACGTATGATATAAACACGATATAAACGCGTACGATATAAACACGTACGATATAAACACGTAAGATATAAACGCGTACAATATAAACACGTACGATATAAACACGTACGATATAAACATGTATAAACACGTACAATATAAACGCGTACGATATAAACACGTACGATATAAACGCGTACAATATAAACACATACGATATAAACACGTATGATATAAACACGTACGATATAAACACGTATAAACACATACAATATAAACGCGTACGATATAACATGTACGATATAAACACGTACGATATAAACGCGTACAATATAAAAACGTACGATATAAACACGATATAAACGCGTACGATATAAACACGTATAAACACGTACGATATAACATGTACGATATAAACACGTACGATATAAACACATATAAACACGTACGATATAAACACGTACGATATAAACGCGTACAATATAAACACGTACGATATAAACACGTATGATATAAACACGATATAAACACGTACGATATAAACACGTACGATATAAACACGTACAATATAAACACGTATGATATAAACACGTATGATATAAACACGTACGATATAAACACATACGATATAAACGCGTACAATATAAACACGTATGATATAAACACGTATGATATAAACATGTACGATATAAACACGTATGATATAAACATGATATAAACGCGTACAATATAAACACGTATGATATAAACACGTATGATATAAACACGATATAAACACGTACGATATAAACACGTACGATATAAACGCGTACAATATAAACACGTATGATATAAACACGTATGATATAAACACGTACGATATAAACACGTACGATATAAACACGTACAATATAAACACGTATGATATAAACACGATATAAACACGTACGATATAAACACGTACGATATAAACACGTATGATATAAACACGTACGATATAAACACGTACAATATAAACACGTATGATATAAACACGTATGATATAAACACGATATAAACACGTACAATATAAACACGTACGATATAAACACGTACGATATAAACACGTACGATATAAACACGTATGATATAAACACGTATGATATAAACACGTCGATATAAACACGTACGATATAAACACGTATGATATAAACACGTATGATATAAACACGTATGATATAAACACGATATAAACACGTACGATATAAACACGTACGATATAAACACGTATGATATAAACACGTATGATATAAACACGTATGATATAAACACGTACGCACCTGACACACACCAGGGCATCTGATACACACAGGGAGGGCACCTAACATATACGAGGGCACCTGACACACACAGGGAGGGCACCTGACACACACGGGGAGGGCACTTGACACACACGGGGAGGGCACCTGACACACATGGGGAGGCACCTGACACACACGAGGGCACCTGACACACATGAGGAGGGACCTGACACACACGGGGAGAGACCTGACACACACGAGGGCACCTGACACACACACGGGGAGGGCACCTGACACACATGGGGAGGGCACTTGACACACACAGGGAGGGCACTTGACACACACGGGGAGGGCACCTGACACACATGGGGAGGGCACTTGACACACATGGGGAGGCACCTGACACACACGGGGAGGACACCTGACACATACGAGGGCACCTGACACACACGGGGTGGGCACCTGACACACACGGGGAGGGCACTTGACACACACGGGGAGGGCACCTTACACACATGGGGAGGGCACTTGATACACATGGGGAGGCACCTGACACACACGAGGGCACCTGACACACGGGGAGGGCACCTGACACACACAGGGAGGCACCTGACACACACCAGGGCATCTGATACACACAGGGAGGGCACCTGACACATACGAGGGCACCTGACACACACAGGGAGGGCACCTGACACACACGGGGAGGGCACTTGACACACACGGGGAGGGCACCTGACACACACAGGGAGGGCACCTGACACACACGGGGAGGGCACTTGACACACACGAGGGCACCTGACACACGGGGAGGGCACTTGACACACACGGGGAGGCACCTGACACACACCAGGGCACCTGACACACACAAGGGCACCTGACACACACAAGGGCACCTGACACACACGGGGAGGGCACCTGACACACACGGGGAGGGCACTTGACACACACGGGGAGGGCACCTGACACACATGGGGAGGGCACTTGACACACATGGGGAGGCACCTGACACACACGAGGGCACCTGACACACACAAGGGCACCTGACACACACGGGGAGGGCACCTGACACACACAAGGGCACCTGACACACACAAGGGCACCTGATACACACGGGGAGGGCACCTGACACATGTACATGTACAGCTAGATCGTTCTATATAAAGAGAATATTTGGAGTGTGTTCTGTTGGAGTAAAGTCACTAATGGGGACACAGCAGTTCTGTAGTATTTTATATATAGTAATGTATATAAAGTATAGTATATATATAGTACTGATACTCTGAGCCGTGTACTGCACCTGCCGCTTTAAACTGCACACACACACACCCACACGCACACACACACGCACACACCCACACGCACACACACACACGCACACACACACACACACACGCACACACCCACACACACACACGCACACACCCACACACACACTGCTCTGTGTGTGTTTCTGTTTCTGTGGGTTTTTGCTGATGAAGTCTTTCAGGAGGAGTTTAGTTTGACTCCATTTGGACTCAGAGCTCAGACTTCACCTGGACCTCACCTGGACCTCACCTGGACCTCACCTGGACCTCACCTGGACCTCACCTGGACCTCACCTGGACGTCCGCTGCAGGTGAGGACGTGTGGCTGCTGTATTTTTGATATTTTAAACATTTTCAGACGTAAAGTTCCTGGAGCTGAAGAGAAAAACAAGAAAAGAGGATTACAGCAAATATAATCAGATTTACCCCATTCTTTAAGTTTACTGGGAGTCCGGTTACAAACCAGGACTAAACCAGGACTGAACCAGGACTAAACCAGGACTAAACCAGGACAGAACCAGGTCTAAACCAGGTCTAAACCAGAACTAAACCAGGACTGAACCAGGACAGAACCAGGACTGAACCAGGACTAAACCAGGACTAAACCAGGACTAAACCAGGACTAAACCAGGACTAAACCAGGACTGAACCAGGTCTAAACCAGAACTAAACCAGGACTGAACCAGGACTAAACCAGGACTGAACCAGGACTAAACCAGGACTGAACCAGGACAGAACCAGGTCTAAACCAGGTCTAAACCAGAACTAAACCAGGA